TCAATTTGTATTTCTCAACTTTTTTTTAGTTATCTGATCTTCCCTCCAACTAGAATGGTAGTAATATCGACCGTCGTATAACACCTTGCTTTAGATATTGGTGCTTGCAATCATAGCAGAACAACTTCAATATTTATAGTCACATTTTTTGGTCACTTATCATTGTCTGAATTTGATAACACTATCATCTGTTTTTTTTTTTAAAGGATCATCATCACTCGTTGAATTACCCATGCAACCACCATCACACATCCTCTAATGCATGTTATGGGTTGATATCAACATCCATTGTTATTTTCAATAAATGATATTTTGTGACTTATCCCCCAACATCGATGCCTACCATTATGGTTGATTGATAGGGATGTCCATCACCATCCACCTCTTATCTGTTAATATCAATACCTTCCAATATTCTTTACTTCTATTACAAGAGAATACCCTTATAGTTCAAATATTGTAATTATAAATTCTTTAACTATGAAGAATGATGAATCATTATAAACTTTAATATACATAGTATAATTATTCAAGCGTGCTAATCTTCATTGGTTTTCTCTTTCAGATGTCACTTAAAAATCTCACTTTCCTATGAAATGTGAGCTAAATATTATGAACCACTGATTTTCATGCAACACAAAGATATTAAACTAAACTCTCTCTTTATTAGAGAGTATTTTAACATGAAATAGTTAAATGTTATATAAGGAAAGCAACATCTCAATTTTATTCTTCATTGATGACATCTCAAAAAATGAATGGGCATAACACATATAATAATGTAAGGTCCTCTTGCTTAGAGTAATTTTTTTGGGTGAAGGCGTCATTGATGCATCCCTACGGTATTGTATTATTTTAGAAAGGAATTCTAGGATGAAAACCTCCATCTTCTATGTGAACTATATTTGTTGAAACCGACTTGTTAATATGTTGTTGGATCCCATTTTTCTTTATCACGAATCAAAGATCACCCACTCGAAGAAGTGTAAGCAGCAAGTTCAACTGTTTGGTCAAGGCTCTATCAATGACACCACTGATCAACAATGACCTCTATGACATAACCGGCTCCAACCCCTTCAGCTTGCAAGGTCAACAACCCTCTAGCCCATGATGAACATACTCTCACCTCTCCTATCAATGGTATCAATTGTTTCCCTTTGAAATAAACTTTAGCATTTGATCTTGGAAGAGTTTCTTGTACGGAATAGATTCCAGCCTCTTGTACGGAATAGATTCCAGCCTATCCTCATCAGAACTCTTAGGAATCATTTCCCCTCATAGTCATCATTCTACATCATCTTGCACTTGTGATATTCAAAGTTATTTATTATATAAGTTTATGACAGTTACTCTGACACTTATGAGCACACAAATAACTACATAACAATTAAGGATATACAATGTCTTTGAAGTGGCTCTTTATCAAGTCTTTCTTGCCAATCATAAGCGTCAAGCACATACTTTATTTATTCTTTTCTTCATGGGACCATGCATACTTTTGTTCAACTCATTGGAATCTTTGTGGAGCAAATTATATAATTATTTAAGATTCCTCCCACCTTTCTTAAATCCATCAAAATAAAAGGGATTCCCTAAAGAAATATTTCAAGAGATACTCTCCAAAATCCTGTAAAATCCCATGAATTGATCTTGAGCTCTTGTAATGGTTTTCACTTTGATCCATTATACTCATCACTAATGTCAATTATAGTTTACTTTTATGCTAATAGAAAACTATAATGCTATCATTCAAGGCTAAAATTAAAATTGAACAATCATTAAATATATACATGTACTTAGAATAAGAAACTGATTGCCCCCCCCCCTAAAAAGTTCCTATACTAATCCACCCTCGTAGTCTACCTTAGTAATCATAATAGCATTGTCAATAGATTAGATACACTTTATTGAATAGATTTAGGGCTAACTTCACAATTTTAAGCATTTCATGTATTTGAAGCCACAAAAAAATCCTAATAGTGGAGAGTAGTACTATATGCTTACTTTATTCATTTTAAAGCAAATAAGAGGGAAAAAAATTAAATGAATAAAAAAAATTTGAGGCTTAATTCACCAAGAATATACATCAGCCAATAATCTATTGTCACAGACATGCAATTGTCCACAATCAACTGACACCAAAAAATATTATCACTCATCCTTTGAGGATTGTTGTTACCCATTATCAATTTATACCATAAATTATTTTTGTCTATCCTTCAACATATGTTTTCACTTATTTTTTTAACGGTGATATTCGCCACCATCACTGTTTGATACTAGTCTATTGCTTACCAATTAACACCAACTTGTAACATTCTCCACCACAATTGCCAAGATGTTCCTTACTGTTTATATCTTATAGTTACACCTCTAACTGTGATGAAGGGTGAAACTTTCTAATCCTAATAATTTTTTCCTATCCTAAACTTCACTCATCCTAACTTCTATCTGAAATAGTATAAAACCTAAAAAAAATATATGAATATCTGAATGCTATAATACTAACATATGAGATAGTACTTATGAAATCCATTCAAACATCCTAGAAGTCATGGAATAATCTAAAGCTCAAGGGAAGTGATTATTACTTGGCAGAAAAATAAAGAGAAAAATTACATGCATACGACGCAATTCTTATATATTCACAGATAGACCTAAAGTTTGAAATTCACATTATAACACTTCGGTGCAATAAACATACATAAAAATGTGTAATTCAAGTTTAAAAAATTAGCGATAGTGGTATCTCAAATGTGATGTCAATGATTTGAGTGGTATTATATAAATATGAAAGTTTAGATGCCAGATATGTACATATATAAGAATTGTGTTATGTAAATGCCTCAAAAATAAAAATATATTATTGTTGCTTGCATAAAAGTAGTCCTAAGGTATGTTTGGAAGGTTGCAATTGTCTGTAAAATCAATCCTAAAATTATTGCACAAAAAATTATTGTTTGATAAACTATGGAACATAAGCGCACGTCAGTCAGTAAAAAATACTACCACACAGCAAAATTTCTAAAACATAGTTGAAAAGCTGCCAGAAAAACACCAGCGTGATTACGAGTTGTGCACATTTAGCTCAAAATTCACATGTTGGCTGGACTTCCCCGGCAAAAGATGAGAATGAAGCCCCTTTTTTTTCTTTGTACAATGACGGGAAAAATATAAGGGAGAAACTGCAGAAATTGGTGAAAACTATGAAGCACGCCTAAAGAAAAAAGGTGAACTACATTTACAAACACACCAGCTAAGTCTTATTCATTTACATATATAACATCTAAACTTTGATTTTTACAATTATACCACACAACATAAAGAATACCACTATTTTAACTTCTAAAAAGTGAAATGCACCTTTTCATTGCTAAGGTAAGGTGGCACATATGTAAGTTTAGCTGTTAGATTTGTAGATACATAAAGAATTGATTGGCATGCATGCAAATCTTCCACAAAATAAATAAATAATTAATTAATTAAAAAAAAACCTGTATACCAACAAACAAAAGTTAGGCAGATGCTTTAGCAAAATCTGAAGATGCGGAGCAACATACAGACACAAAGAAGCCACATATGGAGAAGAATAACTGGAATCAGAAGGGTGATAACGTATTGTAATAGTTATTTTGAGAAGGCATCTGGTTAGTTCAAGATAAAATAACTGCTGGATATAGTCTATAATATATATCTAAACACATAAACACACTGCATACTAACATAATTGCAAGGTAATCTACAGCATAAAACTAAGGTAACATGAGTTGGCAATTGAGTAAATCCAGTAATTAACAATATCAGAAACAATTGGTCGTGGGCATTAAAGAAAGGGGACAATTTACATACAGAGCACCTGAAACTTGCTATTTACAAATCAACAACCCTCTTTCATCCATTTTTCAAATTCTCACTCAAATATCATAAATCATGATAAAACCCCAACCCATATTTTTCTTTTTATCAAATTCTCAATAGTTTGATGTGATGCGCATAAATACATCGGTTCGGTAGTTCAAAAACAAATCATCTGGGGGTTTAATTTATAAATATGAAAGTTTTGGGTGATCTGTTAAACAGAAAAGGTGAGGATCTAAATCCAATAATTTAAGAATCTTTTAAGGTTCAAACTAAAGGCTGGTATAAATGAAAAATGTTTTATCATGCACAGAGTGAGAATGCCGATCCAATGAATTATCAAAAGAGAAAATAATCAAAATAATATCCTGATTATTTGTGAGAGGTCATTTAAATCCAAGATTATATTAAACGTTCTATTTAGTCATTGGACTCTTTAAACAGAGAGTAAAATAACTGTCTAAACCATTGAAATTTAAATTTAATGGTATTAAACATGAGGGGTGTTTTAGGAAAGTATATTTTTCTTCACAAGCAGTAGAGGATGTTGACATCATATACAACAGTTAACTTCACATGCAGTATAAGTATCTTGATATCTTGCACATTGCAGACCAAGCTGATTTTATAATAAAAAATTTGGTTAGATATTTTTATTATATTTATTCCATCGTAATAAATTCTTAAATTCAATGAAATTTTTTTTAAAAAAATCGAATCAAGATAACAAAAATGTCAATTAAAATTATTTATTTTAAAAATTAACTTGTGTTGTACCTTGCATAATCTCAATCAATTTCTACTATATGCAAAGTGAGCTGTGGTATTCAACAAAATAAGATATGTAAAAAATATAGATTTATTAAAAATGTTAAAAATCTTTAAAATATCTCATTTTTAGAACTATTGCCTTCAATTTTCATTAGTTTATATGATAGGGCTATTTTGGCCTATGTTTGTAAACTTTGAGGATTAAATGGGGCTCTTTTTATGGAATGGGAGTAAAATAACCGCTTACAAATAGTCGGGAAAACATTTTAGGCCTTTTCACTAATGAAAATCTAATTTCATGATCCAAAAATTTAAAATAAATGAAAGATATTAATATGAAGCTAAAACTACAGAGGCAAAAAAGATTATACCTTTACTTAGGATTCCAAGCAATTGCAAAAGTTGATGGAGTTCCACATTTCCAGTAATATGGTAGTACTTTTCACAGAAGATAACTTTCCATGAAATTCAGGCCGCTTCTCCATCACCAATAATCCCCACAAGAACAAACCCCATCCTTGAAATGATGAAACCGGCTAATGTCCCTCACTAATATAGTTCTCCCAGTTATCTCAGATATGAGTTTAATAGCAATATGACAATCCCCACATATGCGTAAGTTCTTATACACTCGAATTACAGATCTCTTGTCCAATTTTATGAGACCTAGGCCAACTGCTAGCCTCTCACTATGCTGAAGCAAGTACTCCTCCTTATCTTCCACATTCCGAAGCACAAAATTATCATCAGGAACATACCCCATTCTCTTCATCTTTCTAGTTAAATCCTTCATAGTCCTGTAGATTTCTTCAGCAAGGGGATGATTTCGATCTCCAGCATGGAAGGTGTGTACCTCATTATCTATCTGGATCCAACTTATTCCAGGTTCTTTCTTCACACCTCTTGATCTCATCAGCTGTCTAATGTGATCAGCTTCCTTCCACATTCCTACTGATGAATATAAGTTCGCCATCAAAATATAGTGCCCAGAATTTTCTGAATCTATTTGAAAGAGCTTCTCTGCGACTAGCTGGCCTAAGTCGACCTCTTTATGAAGCCGACAAGCCCCAAGCAGGGCTCCCCAGGTTGACACTTCGGGGTCTATCGGCATGTTGTTGATTACTTGATGAGCTTCTTCCAAGAAGCCAGCTCTTCCTAGCAGATCGACCATACAAGTGTAGTGCTCAGCTCGAACATCAACTTCATCTTCCTCTAGCATGTCAATGAAGCAACTTATTCCCTTTTCTACTAATCCATTGTGGCTACATGCCGAGAGAAGGGCAAGGAAGGTTACACCACTTGGTTTTACATTTTCTTTCAGCATTTGCTTGTACAGCTCAAAGACGTCACTACTACGCCCATGCTTTCCGTATCCAGTTAGCATCGAATTCCACGCCACAATATTTCGCTCGCCCATGTGATCGAAGTACCTTCTCGCATCTTCTAGTGACCCACATTTTGAGTACATGTCAACCATTGCGCTATCCAAAACTACTAAGCTATAAGAGAAACCTCTCTTGATCACAATGGCATGAAGCATCTCCCCAAGTTCAAGGCCCGGTAAGCTTGCGCACAGATTGAACAAAGGAACCAGGGTTAGCGAACCATAAATCACCCCATCTTCGGCCAATCTAAAGAACAGTCTGAATGCCTCATTCCTGAAACCATATTTTGAGTATCCCATTAGCATCATATTCCATGAAACTAATGTTCGCTCTCCCATCTCCTCAAACAGCTCTCTTGCTTTATTGATTATTCCGCATTCCAACAACACCGATATCATCACATTATTTAGATACACATCTTTGTCTTGCGCCCTCTCATGAACTTTGTATGCATAGTTTAAAACCTTACATTTTCCATACAAATCAACAAGCATGCAGCGAAGAATTTTATGATCTTCTATTCTGTTTCTGATCATAAATCCATGAATTTGCTTCCCCTTACTTACATCTGATAGCCCAATACAAGAAGAAAGTGCACTGGCCAGCGAAAAACTATCTGGCTTCATCCCTTTAAGTTGCATTTGATAGAATAAAAATAACACAGATAAATAATTACCATTTTCCTCGTATCCATCCATCAAACAATTCCAGGAGTAATTATTCCTTTCCTTCATACTGTAGAAAATACTTTCAGCTTCTCTTAACCTATTGCATCTAACATACATGTTAAGCAACTCAGTCTCCACCACCACATTTAGTTTAGCATCAACTCTAGTTATATAGGCATGGATCTGCTTTCCTAGATCTAAACTCTCTTGATTAGCAGCTAAACTTAACAGATTGGAAAGCGCGAATTCATCGGGCGGGATTTCTAAACTCATCTTATGATGAAGATGAATCACTGCTTCTACATTCTCTTCTTGCACATATCCTGAAATCAAAGCATTCCAGGAGAGCTCACTCCTCTCTTCCAATTCATCAAATACACGGTGAGCTTTCTCTGGACAACCACATTTCGAATACATATCAACAACAGCAGTACCGAGTATTAAATCTGCATGAAGGGATCTCCTAAGCAGGTAACCATGAAACTGCCTTCCCATATCCAAATCAGCCAATGCAGCACAGGCCACGAGACTGCTGCCTAAATTAAACCTATCGAATTGATGACCAGAAGCCTGCATTGTTGAGAATTGATGAAGAGCTTCATCATAGAGCCCAAGGTGAGCATAGCTAGCTATTATAGAGTTCCAGCTGACTTGATTCTTTTCTCTGATGAGTTCAAACACCATTCTGCTACTGCATTCGTCATCACAGCAGGCATACATATCGATAAGAGAATTCGCTATGAAAACATCGGATTCATACCCGGAGATGATTGTATATGAATGCAACAGCTTTCCTTTAGTCAAAGATTTCAAGGAGCCACATGACCTTATGACAGTAGCATATGTGAAGTGATCAGGCACAGCACCAACACTTAGCATTTCATGAAAAGTACACCAAGTTTCCTCCAACATTGAAAGCTTCATATAGCCGCCCAGAAGAGAATTCCAAATGAACACATTATCGCCATTAATTTCATCAAAAGCAGCAACTGCATCATTCATCCATCCAAATCCAGCTAAACTATCAACTAAAGCTCCACCTACCACCAGATTACTATTCAATCCGACCTTAATTATCAAACTCTGGAGTTGAGAAACCGCCTCTCTCTCATCCAGTGCAATGCATCCCTTAATCACACTGGGGAATGTAAACTTACCAGGGGAAGCTCCATCTCTCAGCATATGAAAAAAGAGCTTGAAAACCTCCTCGTGATCTTTTTCCCGTGAATAGGCCAGGATCATGGTGTTCCAAGCAGTAGAGTTTCTCTCAGGCATCTCGTCAAACATCTTGCGTGCGGTGGCCAAATCACCCCTGTTGCCGCTTCTTGCGTAAAGCATGAGGATTTTGGTTTGTAAGTAGGCGTCTGGGACGAGGCCCTCGGAGAGCATCCGTCCATGGATGGATCTTCCTGCATCAAAGGATTGGGAGTCGATGCAGGATTGTATGAGAGAGGAATATGGGGGAAAGTTTGCGTTGAAGAGAGGGATAACAGGTTGAGAGAGCCGCGTTTGAGTGTCATTGAAGCCGTTGAGAGAGAGGGATGTGGATTTTGATGGAGAAGGTAGAGAAATGGGTGCTGGACTGGAGTTGCAGTGAATCGAGGAAGGAGGTAAAGAAAGTGCGCACGTGATAATGGATTTGGGAAAGCATAACATTTTCGAATGAAGAGCGCCAAGTTCGTTTGTGAATTTTAGCTTCGGTTGGAGTTAAAATTTTGGATTTTGGATTAAATTTTGAGCGGACTCGAACTCAGCTCGAAATTGAATCGTTAATAGCCCTAGTGATATTTGGACTGTGAATTTAACGAATTTAGATTGACGTTCAGTAATCGCTCGAAAATTAATTTGATTTTGAACCCAACCACCAGCCAAAATTATTTATTGAATTTTCATGAGCCAATTTTGAGCTGATCTTCGCTTGACTTGAAACGGGATTTCGGCTCTTGGAGCAAGTCATCTTTCTTCTTTTTTTTTTTTCTTATTTTTGTTATTATTATTATAGAAAAGAACTCATGAAGGTTAGACATCATAATTTTTAATAAGAATTTAAAATTTATTGTAAAAAATTAGTATTAATTTTTGCCGGAATTAAATTTAATAAAAATAAATTCATCACCAAAAGAGTCCACAATTTTTCATTAATAAATTATTTGTCATAATCAATTTTGTTAGGAAGATTTACACACATGCCATTCAATTCCAATGTATTTACATAAACACCTAAACTTTAATTTTTACATATGTATACCACATTTCATATGAAAGAAAAGGGTGTATTTTACTTTTTTTAAGTTAAAATTATTATATTTTTAATGTGGCATAAACGGTTTGGGTCTTATAAATAAGACTGTCAATTTGGCTCGTTGTTCGTGAACAGCTCGTGTCCGGCTCGTTAAGCAGCTCGTTTTCGGCTCGTTAGGCTACAAATTTTTAAGCTCGAAATGTAAACGAGTAAAACACGAACAATAGTTTGTTCGCTCGTGTTTGCTCGAAATGGCTCGAGAAAAAAAATTATATAATATTTTATATAATAATATATTATATATATTTATGTTTATATTTAAATCATAACACCTCATGTAGCAATGTGGTTACTGTCTTTTTTTTTTATAGATTTGATCCAGGTTCGAATCCCACACTTTACATCTATTTTTCTCAATTTTTGTTTAACGAATCAATTTTGAGCCGAACACGAATATTTAAATCGAGCCGAATACGAACACACTGTTCACGAGCCGATTTCGAACACG